CATTAATTATCTATGTTTATAATTTTAGTCCGAACCAATTCTTAAAAAAACCTAGAAAGGGGTCGGGAATATTTTTCACTTACTCACAAAACTTTTAATATTACCTCTAATTACAAATAATCTTTCTAAGGGAATGATAGAAGCAATCATTTCATTTTGTTTGTCTTCTCGTCATTTGTCAAGATTATAGGTTCCCTCTTGTTCTTTGGAATTTTTGCCATTTATCCTTTTACTGAACTAGTAGTCTCTAAATTGGAAGAAAGTCTCAAAAATAAGGAAGATAAATGAAAAGAATTCTTAACTGATGCCGATACTTTTTTAGATAATTATAATGAGTTATTAGGAATATTGGCTCCGATTGAAATTAAAAATTTAAAAGAAGAAGGAGTAAATAGAAAGCTAGCAGAATTAAATAAAAAAGTTGAAAGGTTTTTAAAAATATATGATAATGATGGGAACAGAGAAATAGACATTGAAGAATTAGTAAGAAAAAGAGAAGAACTTAGTGATGATTTAAGTGAAAAAGTATTACAAAAAAATAATCCTTTACTCACACCAGATCCCTCTGATGCTAGTATTTTAACTCTAAACATCGAGGTTGCAATTAGTGGTGAAGATATTCAAAAAAACCAAATTAAACAACAAATTAAAGAGTTATTTACTCAAAACCAAATTAAACCAGAGGAGTTAGAACCAAGTTTATGAAATAATGAAGCGAATTGAGAAAAATATTTAGAAAAACTGACAGGTGAGGATAAAATGATGGAATTTGCACAAAAAATAGAAAAAAAAATTACTATTAGTAAGATACAATCAATTATTAATTCCATAAAAGAATTAGAAAAAGCCATAATTAATCATCGTAAATCTTCTTATACTTCTTATAATTGAATAATTGAAAAAAAATCACAAGGAGAAAATAACCAACAAGAAAGTCAAGCAAACATAAAAAGAACAGTCGAAGATGATAATCAGGCAAATAATAATCGTGGTGATAATGGTACTTCTCATGTAACTAAGGAAGAAGGCGAAATAACTCCATCTGCTAGCAGTTTTCGTTTCACAAATTTAACAAAAAGAAGAAAAAGTGCAACTTATTCTAAGGAAAATGAGACATACAAATTGCAAAACCATGAGCAAGACAACCAAAACATTGCTACTAGCAGCAGCTCTGAATATAACTATGTAATTCAAATGTCTCCTAAATAAAAACCTTATCACTTACTCCTTTTTTAAAATTAATAATATAGTAACTAATCCTTATGAATACTAATAATATCTTGTATACTTTTCAACTCCCCCTCCATCTCCCCTAACACTACCTTCTTCATTTCCTCCTTCACCTTCTCCATAGACTTGAGGGAGGTGTTGATGCGGGTGATATCTTTCTCCCACTCAGTGAAGTTTTTTTCTAGTTTTAGTAAATAATTAGGTAATTGTTCTTTAATTCAGGACTCTCACTTCTTTATTCTTTGTTGCGGACTATCGGAGGGGTTGAATCTTTGTTTAGAAAGAATTAGTAAGCGAGCCATTTGGGAGGCAAAGATGAAGTTGTCTTCATCAGAGACCAAGATGTTTTTTTGTGGGTAGGGCTTTCACAGCGGGTTGCCGGAGCGGCAAGTAGCAATGAGAATGGCAAAGTCGGCTTGGTCTTGGACCATATCTTTTTCTAATTTCTCTAATCATTTGGGGTCTCATTTGGGGTCGTTTTTTACTTCATAAATGATGGTGCCAATAGTTTGTTGGTTTTGCTGAATGATTTGGCTGATGTCAGCTTTGGTGCCGACATGGGTAATCTTGGTGATGGTATCCGTGCCATTATAAACTTCTTGGAGTTTCTCGACCGCATATTTTTCTAGTTCTTCCCCTTTGGTTTTACTGGATTTAGTGGTGCCGAGTTTGTAGCCTTCGACAATTAGTTTTAGTTCTTGGTTCTCTTTTTGGAGGGTTTGGTAAGCTGGTAAAGAGGTGATTTCTAACTCTAATTGTTGACGGAGGAGGGTTTTGTATTCGGATTCTTTTTGAGAAAAGTAAGACTGTAAGTGGGCAATGGTGAAGTGGTTGGAGTCAAAGTCATTGGGGGTGAGAGTAGTTTGGCAGTGGGGGCAAGTGAGGGTGAAATTAAAAGTAGTTATTGTTTTCTCAATTTCTTTGTTTTCTACTTGGTTAGTGATGAGGTCGGACATGATATTTAATTTTAATCTTTGCGATGACAATTTCTAATCCATAAATGGTTAGTAGTGCCATCTTTAAATCAGAAATTTAGTCAGTATCTTTTTTCCAGATAATAAACTCTTTTGCGAATGAAGACTTTTCTCTTGCCTAGATAATTAGTGGGTTTGGCTCGGTGACCATTTAGTTCCTTGTTGAGAATATTTAAAACTAATTCTTGGGTAATCTTTTCCCGCCCTTTCTTTTTTCAAATGTGGTCGGTGATGGTGATTTCGTTGATTGTCAAATTATTAAAGGTAAATTTGAATAAACACTGATAAGTTCATTGCTGTTCGTTATCTATCTCCGAAAACTTTTCCTTTTTGAGTTTAAACAGTTCGGGCATGTAAGTTATCTTTTTTAGGTTCGACAATCACTTTTATCTCTCGCGGAGCAAAAAGGCGACCGGCATAGGTTATTAAGCGGTCTAGGGTAAAGTAATCGATATGACAGTATAAGATATCTTTGGTTTCCCCAGTGGTTAAATGGATTTTTTGAGCTAATTCTTTATCACTGATATTATTTTCTTGCTGATAACCTAATATCTTTTCGCACAGTTCATATTTAGCCTTTTCAAGAGTAGTAGCATTTTCCGGTAGTCCTCAGGAAGCATCAGCATCGTCATAATCGGGCTTTTCTATTTCGGCCAAATATTCTTTAAAAGGTTTTTGGTTGTTATTTTTGCTTTTCATAACTTTTATTTATAATTGATTTTAAACAATTATCTCCCCTTCCTGAATAGCAAACAAACTAATTACTTTCTTATTCCCTCGCTCATTGGTTTCAAATTCTAGTTCTACTTCAGTAATTTGTTCATAGTTTTGGACTAGGTCATTCCAACCATCTTTGACGGCTTTGTTGAAGCAGAAGTAAGCATCGTTGGTTTCTTTGTCCACAATGAGATAATAGTCTTGGAGATTAGAGTCTTGTTTTTTTTGGATAGTGATGTTTTTTAAATTGGTTGTTGGCATATATTATTATTTTTTTTGACAAACTTGTAGTAGTTCAATTTCTTTTTTTAGTTTAGTTTATTAAAATAACAATATAAAAACATATAGTTATATAGAGATATCAACCTTTTTATTTCTTTAATTTATCGTATAATCAC